ACTGCTGTATTAGGATGTCAGCAAAGGAAGATTCTCCCGGATATACAGGTAGTCCTCAACTTATGACCACAATTGAGCCAAAAAATTATGTTGTTAATTGAAACATTTGTTAACTGAGGTTTCCCCCATTCTATGACCTTTCTTGCCACAATTGTTAAATGAATCATTGTAGTTGTTAAGTTGGTGGCATGGCTGTTAAAGGAATCTTCTTCCCCATTGACTTTGCTTGTCAAAAAGTCACAAAGGTGATCACATGATCACCACAGGACACTGCAACTGTCATAAATATGAATCAGTTGTCAAGGGTCTGAATTTTGATTACATGACCATGTGGATGCTTCAATGGTCATAAGTGTGAAAACAGTCATGAAGTCCTTTTTTCACTATCATTGTAACTTTGAACAAAGGAACTGTTGTAAATCAAGGACTCCCTGTACAGTATATAAGATAATCTTACACACACACACAAGAAAAGTGCTTGTTGGGTTCAAACATATTTTATATTATCTGTTAGCCTAAAACATAAAATTTAAGGATGCTGTTAAACTTGTGTGCAAATTGTCACAAAAACTAGTGATCCTTGTAACTTACAATAAATAATCCATTATCTCTGATGTGTTGTACTGTTTTCACTCATGTAACCAGACTAATGGACCATGTTTAAAGTTCAAAACATTAATTAAAACACCTTTTCATTCCCTTAGAAAACAGAAATTCTATCTAAATTAATAATTTTCAAATACAGAACTCTTAATTAATTTAAGCTCTATTAACTGAAGAATCAGCTTGTTCACAGGTTGCATTTAATTATGCTCTTTACAAGCAAGGCCAATGAAAAGTCATTCTGCTGCTTGAGGCAAAAGTTAAGAAGAACTTCTTTCCGTGTAAGAAAATCTACTGGTTAGCATTTGAATGTTATTTCAGTATTGGTAGCAGGATTGGTTCCTTCATACCAAAGATCAACGGGTTGGTTTGAAAATATCCAAGTACACATACATTTGTTCTCAAAAGGAGAAAGGAGGTTAGGAGAAGTTGCTACCACTGCCCCAAGTGCTCCAAAGATGGCACCTTACTTTACTGGGTTTTTTTTTTTTTTCACCAGACGTGTCTTCTATCAATCTTCTGCTTTCCTAGAGGACTTGTCAAGGGACTAAAAGCAGATGCAATTCAAGAACTGAATGATTGACTAAAATGGTTTTGGCTCATCCTGTTACTACTATACTTTGCTTTGAAATAGCTAGATTGTAACATGAATGATAGCAATTGATGCCTGTTACAAGTTGCCTCAAGTTCTTGTGAAGTGGGCAGACAACAAACACTGACTATATAAATATAATTACTAAAACCAGTAGAGATATCAAGAATTATGGACTCTTCAAGTATGAGATAAAGTTGAAAAATATTACATAATACTATTGCACAACCTATAATGCCATGTTTATATGTTTTAACTATAAACATATCCATGTGTTTATATGTTTTAACTATTAATTTAGACTACATATTGTGTTAATATTTGTTCTGTAATTGTCAAATTTATATTATCATTATTTCATTTCGTTTGGAAAAAAGTGATTCTATGAAACCTTTCCTCTGCTAAACCATCTTTTGAAATTTGGGGATTTTTTTTAAAAAAAATGTTTCTGTTGTATATGTTTGAAAAAATGCCCATAAATAGTGGACATGATTTACATCCAGCAGTCTAAACATACTACATATTTCCCATTTAATACTGACAGCATATTTATTTTTAAAAGGCAACAAAAAAAATCAATATTTTTGCAATATTGTGTAACACTGTGATGGTGCAGCAGTTAGAAAGCAGTATTGCAAGCTAACTCTGTCCACTGTCAGAGGTTCGATTCTGACTGGCTCAAGATTGACTCAACGTTTCATCTTCTGCGGTCAGTAATGACCCAGATTATTGGGGACAATATGCTGACTCTGTAAACTGCTTAGAGAGAGCTGTCAAGCACTATGGAGTGGTTTATAAGTCTAAGTGCTAATGCTATTGCGCTTTTGTTTTAAATGTGTTGTGTACTGAAACTAGAAAAAGAATCTGGCCAGTACTGAAGCTATACTCCCACTATCCATTACATCTTATCAGCATATAATTGCAATGGATTGGTTTTATTAAGCATAAATACTACATTAGGTGTTGAATCCAAAGATATGCTGTGGAAGTAAATTCTTGGAGTAGGTTTTTATATAAATTGCTACTAAAGCTAACAAACTGCCACCCAGAGTAATTCTAGAAGGGAGGGAGGGAGGAAGGAAGGAAGGAAGGAATTGATTGGCTGCATAGGCACAAAACAAGAAGACTTGATTCTGGAGAATGTTTGCCATTCTCTATCTATGCAATCTCTGTGTGATATTCTGTAAGATACAAGAATTCTGCAAGATAACAGAATTAAAAAATATAGGCCATTGCTATGGACCTATAAGAACACATCTTGGATTTCATGTATCTTTTCTTCTTAAGGATTTCATTCTGAGTCAATAAATATCTTTTACTACCTGGAATGTAGCAATATGTAAATCAATTAACACTGTAATTACAGTGTTTACAGTATAAATTAACCTTTGCCTTATGTTGAAATTCGGTTTTAGACACAAATACTTTCTTCTAAAATAATCCATATATTGTAGAAGGATATAAAATTAGCTTCAGAAATATTTTCCTGATAATGAATGTGAAAATATTAATTACATAACATGTTATTTTTTTTGGCCCAACATAGATTTATATATTTGAAAATAACATCTATTACCAGCCTGATGTAAAGAGCAGCTCTTTGAGATTGACATCTTCTGGGAAAGAAGGAATTGTTTTTAATGGAATTGCAGACTGGTTATATGAAGGTAAATTGAACAATAAAAATTGCTATATGAAGCTGAATGCTAAAGAGCTTATTATTTGAAGAGAAAAAAAAACATTATTTTGGGATAAACATTTTCAAGATTTCTTGGGAATGTGGTATCCCAGGTATATTTTACACTCTTAGGCTTCGGGAGATCAACACCAAAGTAAAGACATTTTTTTGCAGATGCTTTGTTTTTCCAGGGAAGCTTATTTAGTGCAATGGTTGAGAAATGAGGATTTTCTTACAATGAATTCTGAGGGATTAGATAGTAGTTTAATGCTTCCTTAGAAGCACTGGTTGATTTTAAACAAAACATTGAGATGAATAAAGAGAACAAACTCCCATCCTTAACTTCCTCATAACTAAGTTGAATGATGATAACCTGCAAATCCAACTTTACAGAGAATCTATTCACAAAGAAAAACAAAACTTATACTACCATAAAAGGCATTCCAGAAAGCATAACATCAGCTGCATATGTACAATTGTCAATAGAGCAAAAACCAAAAACTACACCTCACAATACGTGGGCTCAGGAACTTGTGTCTATATGAACAATGATCCCACTCCAAATGTCCTTAAAAAGGCACTATGAATATAACATATGGAAATCCCGATTATGCATAATTTTTCTTTAACCTCAAGAGGTTAATTTTTCTTTTTCCTCATAACTTGCATGAGGAAGATAAGGGACATATTTTTAGTTAGTAGTCTATAAATTATTCTACTTTTTTCAGTGGAAGTGCAGTTAAATCATTTTAAAGTGTGAATTTCAGGGAAAAGTGAATTATTCCATTTAGTTTAAAATAAAGGACACTATCCTCTGTAGATTCTTTGCTCTTTCTTTTATGAAAGAAAAGTTTCTAAGAGCAAAATGTTTAGATAAAACTGATGTATCAAATGTCCTTCCATGGAATTCTAAAAGGTAACATTTACTGGTAAATCTAATACAAAATGCTAATTTCATGGGTTTAAGTATATATTTTTTCCTCAGAGGAGCTGCTTCATTCACACATTACTCACTGGTGGTCACCTGATGGAGAGAGGCTGGCGTTCCTTATGATAAATGACTCATTAGTACCAAATATGCTTATTCCTTGGTTTACTGGATCTTTGTATCCCAAAGGAAAACATTATCCATATCCAAAGGTAAGGAAATTGAGTAATACTTTTTTATTATTAATGTATGCTTTATTTAATTGCTCCCTTACCCACAATTACTGGAAGGAAACAGTCATTGGAGTTGAAGATAATAACTCTATTATGGTAGCTAAAAATAAAAGATTTAAGCATTTTTTTTATTACTCAGATATAATTACAGACTTTCCAGTCCAAGGAGACTTATGTGGATGTTTTTGTGAATTAATGAACTAGTCTAGTCTCTTTTTTTGTCACCTGTTCAATGTGAGAGCAGGTTGAAGCACAAGATGAGTGGCAAACAAATTTAACAAATAAATAAATAATAACATTAAATAAATAATCTATGTATATAAAAATGAAATAACACTCATGCATCATCACAAAACCTCCAGAACCGTAAAGCCTACCTAGAAATTTGGCACGTATGTTCCTCTTGGGTTCTAGGTGCTCACTAAGAAAGGATTTTTTTGAAACAACCATCAGAGCATTAGTATTTTGTATATTATTATTAACACGGTTTGATGCTAGGGAGTTCTACTCCCCCTCCCCACCTGAAAAGAAATCTGTTCCAAATGCAAAAAACAAGCAGAGAGGAGGAGTTGCAATTTTAGTTTCACAGCACCAAGCAGCTTTACAGAACAGCTGAGCTAAGCCATGCCCAGGCTCCTTGCTGTCTCCTTTTTGCTCATACAGCAAATACTGCTCAGTTTCCAAACAGCCCTCTCACACACTGATAGGACGCTAGCCAGATAAATACCAATGGATGCTGGTAGGCAGAGACAGAATGTATTCCCCCTTATTTTCCTCCCCAAAAACTAAGCCCGACCACATAGTTTCATAGCGAAGCATGGGTATCAAGTTAGTCAAATAAATAATTCCAGTTCTTCTCTCTGGTTAAGATTTAGCTGACTGCGGGCTGTTTACCTCTTCTATGTCAAATAACCACTGTAAGATGTAGAATATACTAAGAATGCTTTACTTCCAGGCAAAGCTACCTTTTCCTATGCTATGTGCACCAGTTTGCAAAATATACCTAAAACCATATCAGACATAAAACCATCTGAGGTATGTGGTCATCGCCTTTAGAATAGATTATTGCAATGGGCTTTTTAATTCAAAGACTGCTTTTGTAGACTGCAGCTGGTGCGTAATAAGCAATTAGCTGGTAAATAACAGCCACCATAATTATTTAACATCAGTGCTTTAGGCCCTGCATTAGTTATCAGAAGGCTTCTCAGCACAATTCAAAGAGTTAATTATTACTAATATATCAATTCATTTATTGTATTCCCTAGGGTGCATGATGGGAATGTAATAAATTGAGCTTTTCAGCTGGAAAGCAGACAGCCCAGGTTTGAGACCCAAGTGTTGTGTGACAGGGTGAGCTCCCATTACTTTGCTCAGCTCCTGCCAATCCAGAAGTTCAGAAGCATACAAATGAGAGTAGCTAATGAATGCTACCAATTTGTTTAGGGCTTTGATCAATTATTGGTTTTATAGTTGGTTTTATTGCTTTAACATATTACCATAAACTTCTAGAACTTTTGTTGGAGTGTGGCAGTCTACAGGAATAGTAAAATGAATGCACTTTAAAAATGACATTAAAGAACCTGTGAATTGGACATGTAGTTTAGCATGGATTTAGGTCAGGATGAGTGATGTATGAACTTGTTAAATCAGTCTGTTTTCCCTCCCCAGCTTGATTTCTTTTTTATTGTTGTTTTTACTTATTATTTTGGTCAGTGGACAACATTAGAAATCGAGTAAATATATTTTAAAACTTAAATAATGTATTACTCTGGACTAGGGTCTCTTTGACAATTATATTTATTACTTTTGATTTTTAAAAAATATGAAATTGTGACTTAACAGCATAGAAAATTAAATGTACATCACTGGATATTTTTCATATATTTTTGCTAGGAGCAGAATTAATTTCTACAATTGTTATATTACTTTTCTTTAGCAATTTCAAATTGAACAATATCAAACGAAACACAACAAAGGATAAAATTTAAGATTCAATTAAACTTATGATAAATAAATTATAAAAGTCTACTATAATTTATTACACAGTGAACAGATTTATATTGTTAATAAATTGTAACCTTTATTTAATTTTTCTGTTCATTTTAAATTCACCTTAATTATTAAGCAAATGATCTAATAATATGAACTAAGACTTTATGCCTTGCAATGTTTTACTTCACTAGGCAGGTTTAGTAGTATTTATGACTACTATTAGGCCAAGCTGGTGCATAGGAAACTTTTTATAATTATTTTTACTCCTTATAAAAGCATCATTCCTTTTTTTTATTTTTATACAGTTATTTGTATTTGTAAGGAAAATAAAATAAGTGTGCAGGAATGTAGGTCTTACTGTATATGCCAATCCATGGCCATCATATTAGGATCACTCAATACTGTGTTGTAGAATATCAATGAGATATCTATGTGACTTGTATTTAATTATTTCATTCAAATTTCAACAATACTGAACTGTTTTTATTTTTAAAAGGCAGGTGAATTGAATCCAGTAGTCAAGCTGTATGTTGTCAATCTATATGGCCCAACACATACATTGGAACTCATGCCACCAGACAGTTTTAAATCAAGGTAAGCAGATTAGAGGTTGATATTTAACCTACTATACTATATTCCAGGGAGCAGCTTGGTGTAGTGGTTAATGCAGTAAAAGAAAAGGAGATGGCAAATTTTAGTTCTGCCTTAGACATGAAGCCAATTGGGTGACCTTGGTGACCAATCATTCTCTCTCAGCCCCCAGAAAACACAATGCCAAACAACTTCTGAAAATCTTGCCAAGAAAACTGCAAGAACCAATCCAGGCAATCACCATGAATCAACACTGTCTTGAAGGGCTACAAGCAGAAAAGTTAAATAAAGAAGTGGGGGTGGAGGGTAACTCTACAGAAGACCAAGCCTTGCATATAAAGCTTGAACTGAGAAGACAGCAACAGATAGAAAATGTTGCCTCTACAAAGAAGCTGAAGGAACAGTGGACCAGCTAATTAGTTGTTGAAAGAAGACTACGCAGATTGATGTCAAACAATGACATGACAAAGTAGCAACAATGGTCTTCAAGAAATATCTACTTGCCTGAAAGCAAGAACTAGTGGCATCACAAAATAGACAAGGTAATAGAAAATAAATAAGTTAAAGTTCTATGGGACTTTAGACTCCAAACAAACAAAAACCAGGCTTAACAACTGTCAATAAGAAAGACAGAAAAAAAATTATGGATAGCAGATGTTGCTATACTTGGAGACAGCAGAATAAAAGAGAAAAAATGGGGGTGGGGTGGGGGAATCACAAAATACAAACATCTGAAAATTAGAAATAGAATGTAGCAAATAAAACAAAGATAGTACCAATACTATTAAGGCACCTTACGTGCAATCCCAAAGCATCTGGAGCACCACTTGAAAACTGTCAGTATTGACAAAATCCCCATCAGATTTGCTTGGAACAGCTTACATCCTGCAACCGGTATTTTCAGCACCACCACAGTGACACCTGTCTGTTCCAGATGCTTAGGAAGGACCAGGTAGATGGATAAAAGTGCCAAATCCAGCCTAATCAACCAGCTAACTATAAAACAAACCATAATAATAATCTATTTAAAAAAAAAAAATCTCACAGATTGGTTTTAGCTAATAGAATGAAACTGTTATTATAGAATATTTTAATAAAGTATTTGACATTGTTTTCATAAAAGATATACAAAGAGAAGAAAATCATACAAGAGATATATCTGTTCACGCAGTCTGAAAGAGAAGTAACACTATCTGATTAAATTTGACAACAGTGAATGGAACAGATTAGAACATCAGAAAACTTCTCTAAATACCACATTCAAAGTCCAAACTCTATAATCACTAAGTTAAAGTGACCTGTCACTTTTCTCACTAAAAGAATGCTTGATTCTGAAAACTGACCATTTATTTAAATGAACTTAATTTCAAATTAAAATTAAACAAAAGCATCAATGAAAGAAATACAAGATAGGGAAATTCTCTGGATTTCAAAGAATTTAGAATGAACTTTTGTAGATTAGGATGGAGAATAAAATTTTAAAGATTTGTTCATAGAGAATGAGGTGAGATACAGGATGAAGATATTGTTTATTGTATTTTAAGAAATGGCAATTAAAGTTGTTCATATTCACCAGTATGGATTATTTCTTTCTTTCTGTTCCCTTTTTTCTTTGCACATTCGATTTTTATCTTTTCATTTTTGTAGTTTGTATTACTTTGATGTGTATATGTCATTTTCAATAAAATTACGGTATTATAAAAATGATTTTTTTTTAAAAATTAGATCTTAATACATGCAAATGTGTAGATTATACAGGGGTGAGTTCTAAATCATCAAATTCAAAATACATTATATCCTATAGTGAATTTCCCAAGCAGTATGCAAAAAGAACAAATATTACATATCTAAGTAGATAACAGCTCTCTCTTTTTTTTTAATCGTAGGTTTGTGCAAGCTTATTTTAAAAAATCATGTATTTGATACATTTTGTTTGAGTTGCAAATGGTTTTAAGCAATCATCCGGCTGTCATATCACAAAGCCTGAGTGTGTGCATCCCTGGAAAATCAATTTTAATTTTACCTATGAAAGTACTGTATAATGCCCTAGTTACAGAAAATTGGAATTGGACATGATAAACGAAAAGCATGTTGAAAAATGTTTTAAAAATTCAAGGCATAGGCTATATTTTTTCTTTCTTTTACCCACTCCAGAACAAATTGAGGTCTGTTGACCCTTTATTGTATACACATTGAAAGAAGTCCATAGTCTGCAGCAATATATTTCTGATATGCTTGATGTTTTTTACTATTTTTGTTCAGATGACACAGTGTCAGTTGTTAAAGAAAAATAAAGAGAAGGGCATGTAAAAACGGTGTTCTGATAAATGAACATATCCAGCAGAAGAAGTCTATGTTAACATTACTTCATCTAGAAATGCCTATAAGAATAAGTCCCAAAAGAGGCAACTGGACTTTCTGGTTGTTCTTTGAAGATGTTTCGCTTTTCATCCAAGAAGCTTTTTCAGCTCTTCAAAGAAAAACCAGAAAGTCCAGCTGCCTCTTGAAAAAAGCACCTTTGGGACATTCAAACCTCAGAATATTGGCAAAGTCTCCTAATTTGCTGAATGTAAACATGAAAGACAAAGGGCCTTCCTTTGATATCTTTTTGAAATCAAGTCTTGATTGCTAAGATGATAGTATTTTATCACCAAAGATAATTATAAGATGACTGTAAACTATTAGCTTGATGAAATCTATTCATTGGTATCATTCCACTAACAAACAACTTCTATTATTTACACAAATTATTTTTGTATTAATATCAAATTTGGTACTTTAATTTTGTTTATACAAATCATACCATAAACAGTTTTACAATTTATTATATTTTGTTAACCAGATAATACTCAAGAGCAATTACACAATTTTTTAGAAGAACATCAAGCTATTTTCAAAAGTAGTGTAAAGGAGTATAATAAATAACAACAAAGGAGGAATACAAAAACTCCCAAAGGTGCTTTTTCAAGAGGCAACTGACTTTTTGGTTTTTCGTTTGAAGATATTTCACTTAGAAGCTTCTTGGATGAGAAGCAAAACATCTTCAAAAGTAAAACCAGAAAGTCCAGTTGCCTCTCAAAAAAGCACTTTTGGGACAACCACGATCTGAATGACTGAGAATCTCTATAGATGAATGCTAGAACTGTAGTTTGGGGAAGGACTTGATGAACTGAGAAAAGACTGGGGCAAGGCATACTATCAAAACATTCTGTGGCATGTTTTTAATGTATGTATTTCTATAGCCACTCAATTCATTCAAGTGACTCTGGGTGTCTTACAATATTGATGGATGATTGAAAAAGAATGAGGAAAGAATATGGAATGTTTCACAGCCTCTCTGCATCCTTATCCCCCGCTCTGTGGAATTCTTAGATGCCAACACCTGAGAAGCCATACAAATAGGTTTTCTGTCCACAGCAGAAAAACAAAGAAGGAGAAAACACAGTTTGTTTCTACTGTGGAGTTATAGGGCATCTAGCCAAGACTTGCACTGCTAAAGTACAGATCTCTGAATCAGTTATTAATTGCCACAACTGTGGGACAGTGGACTGTGTAGCAAGCTAATGCTGAAATCATCCCAGAGTATCATCTTTGGAGATCTTCATAGATTTTCCTCCCAAGATCTCAACAGAGAGCCTCAGGCAGTGAAAAGTTCAGACAACAACAGCGGACAAACTTATTTTATTTTTGTTACCCTTCGTATGCTCTCAGACTTAAAAATACAACTCTCCACCTTCTAGATTCAGGTGGACAGCGAATGTCAGAGATAAGATAATACTGCAGTTTAAACTGCTGACAAAGAGAAATGTTTATTTGTGGAAACAATTGACAGTCAAGCACTTTACCTGCTTTTATCGGGCAATGTACTTTTACAACTGATAATAAATGATCCTACAGAATTATTTCCATTCCATTTTATCACAACTTATTTACATGCCCCATTGATTGGGCTCAAAATAATGATCCAGATGTCCACTGGCAGCAAGGGCCAATCAAAAGTGTGAACAGCATGATTTTCAAAGTTCCTATTCTTGCCTTCTTTACAGAACAGCTCTGGCAATCCTCTTCCTTACAGAAAGTGCATAGAGTTGGATGATATTTGGGGGAACAAGGAATTAACATTCCTTCTCTCTCTTTTTTTTACTGTAATAATTTTTCCTAAACATTACAGTTAAAAAAAACTGCAAACAAGAAAAAAAAGACAAAGTGCAGAACAACAGGAAAAATAATTTAGGAAGAAAAATATTTAAAAAATACAAATAAGAAAAAAAATAGAAATATAAAAAGAAGTTACTTCCTCATTTGTCAAAATCAGTATCAACAATTTTACCACCTTATCTTAAAATACAATGATGTCTTCCTCCCACGTCTCAATTCTTATCTATAAACAGATCCTTGAAATCTCATGATTCAGTCCTGGTCAGTAAAAGTCTATTATTGTAATAATTACCATAAATAACAATATAGCTATTTTAACTTTGATCAAATCAATCCAGTTTATGTTCCTTCCTTTTACTTTTAACAATCTTGATCTTTAATCTCTTCAAATAATGTTCTAGAGTTTGTTTCCTTTCATTTTTTCTTTGTCCCTTTTTAAAAAATTCTTCAGAACTTAAACAGATTATTTTTGTAACTCAAAATAATATAGCTATCCAAATTGCTCTTTTGGTTTGCTATTTATATAACCCTTTTAATTATTAAGACAACAGCCAGTTTCATTTATATATCAAGTTTAACATCTTTTTTCCATATTAGTCTTGCAACTTGTTATTTTTAAACTCACTTTCAGATCAAACTCAGTTTTGACTGATAAAGCATGTTCCTATTCCAAAATATCTTTTAAGGACAGTCTACCTGTGACTGAGTGACTTTGGGTTAATCACCTCATTTCAGCCCATGTCGTCAGTCTGGGGCATCAAGCTGGTGGGTAAATTCCTGCTGTACCAGTGGCTGAACACAGGGCTGATCTGTAAATAAAAAATAAAAAAATAGACCCTACCTTT